ATTGCTTTCATTATTTTTTACGATGCCTAACATGAATAAATTTGATACTCCAGTTAAAAAAAGTGTTAATTCAAGTTTACTACATGTTGAATATAATTTATCTGACGTTATGAAAAAACTCAAATCAATGAATTCATCTCAAGATATCCAAAACAAAGTGTTAAATGAAAAGCTAATTAATTATGAGACTAAACTTAGCAATCTTAATTCTTCGTTAGAAGGTATGATAAAATCTTTAAACATGTTATGGGAAGAAAACAAAGCCTTAAAAATTGATATAAACTTATTACGTGAAAAAATTTCATTGTTAGAATCGACGAATAGTCCGATTTTTAATCCGATATCTTCCGAGGAAATAATTACCGAGGCTCAAAATAGGGTTTTAAAACAAAAAAATGTAATTTTTTATAATATTATTGAAACGCCTAATGAAACTTTAGAATCCTCTTGTAAAATCGTTAGTGATTTAATAAAAGATATTTCTTTGGATTTAAAAGTAAATAGCGTAAAACGTCTGGGCAAACCCCATCATAACAGAATTAGACCAATACTTGTCGAATGCGATTCTATAGCTAACGTTTCTAAGCTATTAAAAAATAAATCTAAACTTCGAGCAATTAAAAAATGGGAAAAAGTTTATGTCAATGCTGATTTAACTTACAATCAAAGAATTCATATAAGGAATCTGAAAGATGAACTTAACCGTAAACGTTTAGCAGGCGAAGCAAATTTGATTATAAAATTTGTCAAAGGTGTACCTACTATATGTCCAAAAAACTAATTAATCCTTTTTATAATTCTGTAAGTTATAATGATCAATTTCATGATTTTTATTCTTTGTCTAATCATAATTTATCGTATTTTAATTGTTTAATAAAAAGTAAAAAAAAAAATGTTGTTAATAAGAAAAAAACTTTCACTGGTTTATATCAAAATTTAAGAGGTTTGCGAACTAAAATTCACAATCTCAAAACTAGTATTCCAATTATTAATGTTGATTATTTTTTGTTAACTGAAACTTGGTTAAATGGTTCTATTTCTGATTCTGAACTAGGTTTTGATAACTATAATGTATTTAGATATGACCGGTGTATGAGTACTAGTACGCACAATCGAGGTGGTGGTGTAGCTATCTGTGTACACAAACGCTTTAATGCTGAAATATTATCAATACCAGTTATAAATGTCGAACACATTTTTGTATTAGTTAGAGTAGGGAATAGTCATAAATTTCTTTTAGGAACTTGTTATATTCCCCCTTCTAGTCCTCCTAATTTGTATGAAGCTCACGTGGAAGCAGTAGACTCTTTGTCCAGTTACTTTATGACTAATAATACTCACTTTATATTAGCTGGTGATTACAATTTACCCGGTGTAAAATTTTCATGTGATGATACTGGTCTTATATATTCTGGTCATAATCTACCAGGTGCTAATATAATCTTTAACAAATTTTCGTTTTTAAATTTATATCAAAATAATACTGTGTTAAACGACTTTAATAATTCTTTAGATTTAGTTTTTGTTAATAATAATTCAACTCTGGTATCTCGGTCTAATGATAATTTAGTTTCTCCCGATAGGTATCATCCATCATTATTAATTAGTAATGTATACAATTATGATAGTTATAATTCAAGATATAAGAATAATACGTGGTATTATGACTTTAACCATGCTAATTTTCCTTTATTAGTTAATTTATTAAATGATGTAGATTGGTCTTGTCTTTATAATTTAAATGAAATTAACTCAGCATTAAGTAAGTTTTATGAAATAATCTCTAGAGTGTTAGATGCTAATGTGCCTAAAATCTACTCTTATAAATCTTCTTTTCCACTATGGTTTTCAATAGAATTAAAGTCCCTTATACACAAAAAAAAATATTTGCATAAAAAATTTAAAAAATATGGATTACAGTCAATCTATAATGAATTTTCATCTACCCGTGCAACTTGTAAATTTTTATCTAAGCAATGCTATTCTGATTATTTAAATAAAGTTCAAAACAGTTTAATAAATAATCCTAAATACTTTTGGAAGTATATAAAGAATTGTAAAAATGTAAACCGACTACCTAATGTAATGAAGTACGAGAATTCGCGCTTTGATAATATGAGTGACATTGCTAATATTTTTGGTGAATATTTTGGTTCAGTATTTTCAGCACATAATACTGATCCGTTGTCTTTAGATAATTACGAAGGTGATAAAATTGATTTTTCCAAGTGTGATTTATCTTTATCAGATATTTATGAAGGTCTTTCTCATCTTAAAAATAGCACTTCAACTGGACCTGATTTAATTTCTGAAATATTTCTTAATAATTGTCGTTGTGCTCTTGCCCGGCCGATTCACTTCCTTTATTCCCTTTCTTTATCATCTGGTTGTTTTCCAGATCTTTGGAAATTTAGCTTTATATATCCTATTTTTAAATCTGGTGATAGAAGTGAGGTAACTAATTATCGCCCCATATCTAAGCTTAATGTCTTACCAAAGTTATTTGAAAAATTATTACTACCTAAGCTTGCATATACATTTCAACCTATTTTAGTTAATAATCAACATGGCTTCCGTTCATCAAAATCAACTATAACAAATCTTCTTATTTTTTACACTACTTTAATATCCGATATAAGCTCTGGAGGCCGCGTAGACGCTGTGTATACTGATCTCAAAAAAGCTTTCGATAAAGTTGATCATTCAATTTTGTTAAAAAAGCTAAGACTTTTGGGTGTAGGTAATCCAATGCTTGCGTGGTTTTCTTCCTTTCTCAAAAATAGAAATCAACAAATCAAAATAGGTAATTTTACTTCGAATATAATTAATGTTACTTCAGGTGTACCACAAGGTGGCCATTTGTCTCCTTTACTTTTTATCGTTTTTATTAATGATTTATGTCGAATTTTTCAACACTGCAACTATCTGCTTTTTGCGGATGATCTTAAGTTATTTATGACCATTCAATCAGTTGATGATTGTGGTAAATTACAATCAGATTTAGAAAAATTCAGTTTATGGTGTAAAAAAAATGGATTAGTAATTAATACAAATAAATTTCATCAGATAACATTTACTCGTTCTAAAAATGTAAATATTAATCAGTATACGATTGATGGTTGTAATTTGCTTAATGTTTATAGTATTAAAGATTTAGGAGTTATATTATCCAGCGATTTATCTTTTTCTAACCATATAGATTATATTTACAATAAAGCCTCACGAACACTTGGCTTTTTGAGAAGAAATTGTAATGAATTCAATAATATTTTGTGTATCAAAACCTTGTACATTTCTTTGGTAAGATCAATTTTAGAATATGCATCTATTATTTGGTGTCCATATAAAATAGGTGAAATTAATAGAATAGAATCTATACAAAGACGTTTTTTACACTTCATTTCTTTTAAGTCTAGGGATTATAATGTGTCGATCGATGAAATACGAATCTCTCTTGGTCTAACTTCCCTTGCTTACAGGAGAAAATGCAATGATGTTTTTTGGATTTATAATCTCCTTAATAATAATGTAGATTGTCCAGAAATTTTAAGTCTAATTCCTTTTAATGTTCCTAATTTTCATCTCCGATCTAATAATTTATTTTATGTTAACTCATATCGTCAGAATTATAGTTATTATTCACCGGTCAATAGAATGCTACATTTTTGCAATTTAATTAAAAATTTTGATTTCTTTAATGACCATTTAACCAAGTTAAAATCTATTTGTAGCGATGTATTTTAATTATTAATTTTGTATGTTAATAATTTAAACTTCTATGTATGCTGTACTTATTTAATTATTTAGATATTTTGTATTTATATTCTGTACTCATTGCCGTCTGTGGCGTACTCAATATTTATTTGTTTTTTTTTCTGTTTGATTATGTTGTGTCTTGTATATTATAAAATAAATAAATATTGAAATAAATAAAAAATAAAAAATAAAAAATAAATAAATTATATTAAATATTATTATTATTAAACTAAAAATTATACCTATATTCTATCAATAAAATTTATTTTAACTGATATTTTTATTTGCCTATAAATCACGAAAAATGGTACATGGTAGCATATGACAAATGACACCAGATGGCAGTTTCCTAATTGTGTGGGTGCAATTGATAGTAAACACGTCATTATTTAAACACCTATATACAGTGGTTCTGAATTTATTAATTATAAAGGTACATTCAACATAGTATTGATGGCTTCAGTTATTGTTATTCCAATTATTGTTTTTTGTACACAAACGTTGGATGTCAAGGAAGAATTAGTGATGGAGGAGTTTTTAAAAATACTTCTCTCTTTCAAAAAATAGAGGATAATCAATTGATGTTTCTCCTGACCAACCATTAAACCCGAAGGACTTTACCAGTTCTTTTTGTATTTATGGTGGACGATACTCTCACTCTTAGTTCGCGAGTTATAAAACCCTATCCAGGGACTTACGGTAAAGTGAGCGTAGAAAGACTTTTTAATTATCGTCTATCGCGAGCTAGACGTGTTGTTGAAAACGTGTTTGGTATTATTGCTTCAGTATTTCGGGTTTTAAGAAAACCATTATTATTGGAACCGGGAAAGGCTGCCAATATTACAATGACTTGTACTTTGCTGCACAATTTTTTAAGAAAAAGTAGAACATCAAAGCAAATTTATACTCCTCAAGATACATTTGACAACGACAATGAACAAGGATTTATTCCAGGACACATGACGTCAAGACCATGGAGACTTGAGTTCTTTATTACCACTTCGGAGGGTATCGAGAAAACCTGTGGAGCAAGCTAAGGTCAATAGGAAAGAATTTTCAGACTATTTTATTACTTCTGGCAAAGTATCATGGCAGGATAACTATAAATTTTAATCAATTCAATGAATTAAATTTTTTATCATACATTTATTATTATTTTACTTATTAGACTTAGAAATGTAAATTTAAATAGTATATTTAACTTGTTTTATAAGGCTTAGATTAAAAAAAAAAGTAGAAAGCTAAAATAATATTTAAGTTTCGATGTTTATACGACTTACGCTCCTATTGTACCTATTTTGTCAACGATAAGTCAAAAGATCACGAAACGCATCTAGTTGAAGCTACTTATTTTTTTCTAAATATAAATTGTGACACTAATAAAAAAACTAGAAAATGTAATTTTTACTTAAATATGCCGTTCGCAAGGTGACGGAATATTTTGTTCGTCGAATTAAATTTCTGCAGTATTTTTCACTTAATTTATCAAACTATAAAGATTTGGCCAAATAATTAAAATAAAACAGAAATTATGGACCAGCCTTATACAGGTACCTATATGTATAAATAAATACATATTTATTTATTTAATTATTTGCTATTATTGTTATTTTAACGTTTTAAAACGCTTTTTTGTTAAATATTATAACGTTTAAAGTCCTATTTTTTAACTATCGCTATAATTATTTTGTTGAACATTTATCATACAAATAAAAAGTTTACTTATGAGTTCAAAAGATATATTAGAGTTTTGTTATGTTTATTAATATTATTAATAATATATATAAATAAAAAAAACAGGATTATACATGTTTTTGAAAATTAAAATGAGTTTTAATATTACTATTTGTATCTCATAGAAAGTATATTTTATACCATCAAGTCAAAATAATTCAATGCAAAAGGAAAATTAGTGGAATGTTGGGGAAATGTTGTACGCCAGCTTCTGAGCATAGGGGAAAGAAAACAAAAACTTCTCTGTAACATTACCAATTTTAACATTTTCTGGTAATAATATTATCAAACATTTATGTTTTATATTCATGCTAATAATCCAATTTATATATTTATTTAATATAAAAATTAAAATAGATGAAGCTGAATCAGAAAAAGTTTGGTTAAGGACATTTGGGTAATCTTCTAACTTTGATGAGTTAAAAAAAAACACTGGAAATTAACTTATGAAATAAGAAAGGCTGAAATTTGAGGTTTAAACAGCATTACTGGTCGTCATTTGTCTGAAAATTTTAAATCATGGCCTATTTTATGTAGTCCTCAAGGATATAATCTTGTAAGAAATAAAAAATGATAAATATTAGTAATTCATATTAGTCTATATACATTTTTTTTTTGTAATATATTAATCAATGCATGTTTTAATATTACAATTAAAATTTAGGTTATATTTCTATCAACTCGTCAACAACTTTTTTTACTTTTTATTTTCAATTATTATGCCGGTTAAAACTATAAAAAAAGCATTATGTTGAGTCCACTTATTATTTAAATTTTTGAAGATTTTTGTATGAAATATATAGAAACAAAAAACTATTTACATGATTGGCTAAACTTTATTAAAAAGTGGACTTTATTTTCAAATAACTTATTAAGCTTACGTAGAAATTTAGTGATAGATAATTATGCTAATGACTTATTAAAACAACTTGATACTGTACAACTGACTGTAGGTTAATATTGTATAATTATTAATTATCTAGGCTGTGAATTGTATGTACTTTTATTTTGTAAGTTAATAATGTAATTTAACCAGAGACATAATTACAGGAGTTCTGGAATTAAATTAGCCTTTATAAAAAAAATTTTATGTCATTTTATTAACTTATTATGAATAACCCTCAGACTTAAGTGCACTTGAAATTCTTATATATAAGTTATAAATATAGTTTACAACTATGCTAAGTATAAATCCATTAATTTCAATTGTGTTTTCATTTATATTTTGTGTAATATATATGTTCATTAGTATACTTCCTTACAAAAATTATTTCATAAAATTTGTTATTTTACAGAGTATGATTTAATTAAAAAAAACGGTAGCACAGTGGGGTCGAGGCACAGTGTAGAGAAGGCATAGATGGGACAAGTATAGATGATATTTGACAGTGATTAAAATCACTATCATACGAAACGATTCAAATCTGTAGATAGTGTTTCATTTAGAGAAATTGGTAGATTATTCCTAAAGCAACATCAATTCTTATTTCTTTGATTATATCCTAGTAATTCTTTGATTTTAAAATATAATATGTGAATAAATACTAATTATAATTATTAAATTTAGTATGAAAATAAAAAAATAAAAAAAATTTAATAAGTTTAATTTCTTATGTCTTATAACCTATATTCTATGTCAATTAAATTATATAATATTCATGAAGGTCAATGTATTCTCCTAATAAGATATTTTAAAATAAAATAAAATACAAAACCTAGAATTTTAATAGAAAAATAGCATATTTTTGAATATGGTAGCCATTTGCGCATAGAAGATAG